GTAAATGAGCGTGTTGTGTTTTCATTTCATTTCATTCCTCAACAAAACACTATAGTATTTATAATTATAGTCTATTAATTAGCTTAAACTGCATTCCAGTAAAAATGTAAGTCCGCATAATCAAGTCAAGTCACCTTTATTTATATAGCACTTTTAACAAAACAGATTGTGTCAAAGCAACTGTACAGCATTAATTAGGAAAATAGTGTGTAAATAATGCAAAATGACAATACTAAACACTCAATTTTCAGTTAAAGACAGTGAATTCAGTGATTCAGTGATGTCATCATCCAGCTCAGTTCAGTTTAAATAGTATCTGTGCAATCAAGTTGACGATAACGCAAGTGCCCCCGTGCCCCCAAATAAGCAAGCCAGAGGCGACAGCGGCAAGAAACCAAAACTCCATTGGTGACAGAATGGAGAAAAAACCTTGGGAGAAACCAGGCTCAGTTCTCCTCTGGCCAGACGAAACCAGCAGTTCAATTCCAGGCTGCAGCAAAGTCACATTGTGCAGAGGACTCAACAGGTTCCTGTGGTCTTGTCCCGGTGGACTGGGGATCTCTCTCTGGGGCCCATCTAGTTGTCCTGGTCTCCGCTGACATTCAGGGCTGTAGAAGTCCTCTCTAGGTGCTGATCCACCATCTGGGCTGGATACAGACTGGATCCGGGTGACTACGTTGACCTCGGAATAAGAAAAAAACAGACTAATATTAGCGTAGATGTCATTCTTCTAACGATGTAGCAAGTACATCGGGTGTTATGGGAAGTGTTCCCGGTTCCGGTTGACCTAATTAATGCAGCCTAACAATCCTTTAACGGATTTGAGTAATAGAAATGTGTTAGAGTGTTATGTGTAAGCCAGGTTAAAGAGATGGGTTTTTAATCTAGATTTAAACTGACAAAGTGTGTCTGCCTCCCGAACAATGTTAGGAAGATTATTCCAGAGTGTGGGCGCTAAATAGGAAAAGGATCTGCCGCCCGCAGTTGATTTTGATATTCTAGGTATTATCAAATTGAGAATGTAGCAGACGTGGAGGACTATAATGCAATAAAGAGCTCATTCAGATACTGAGGTGCTAAACCATTCAGGGCTTTATAAGTAATAAGCAAGATTTTAAAATCTATACTATGTTTAATAGGGAGCCAGTGCAGTGTTGACAGAACCGGGCTAATATGGTCATACTTCCTGGTTCTAGTAAGAACTCTAGCTGCTGCATTTTGGACCAGCTGGAGTTTGTTTATTAAGCGTGCAGAACAACCATCTAATAAAGCATTACAATAATCTAACCTTGAGGACATGAACGCATGAATGAACATTTCTGCATTTGACATTGAGAGCATAGGTTGTAATTTAGATATATTTTTGAGATGGAAAAATGCAGTTTTACAA